AGAAGGATTTTCGTCTCATATTCCAAGATACTTCGCCGCTTACCTCGCGTTTTACGATCTCGTGAACCTTCGAAAATTCGCGAAAGATGCTAAGCGCGATTGCCTCGTCACCTGAATGCCTGTAAAATCGTACAGTCAAATTACAGGAACGGCGACGGCGCCGAGCGTTTCACTCGGATATCGGTAATGCACGCAGCCAATTCTGTAAGATCGGCTTTATGTGGAAATAAAGATTGTCGAAGGGCGTAGAGGGGTATAGCCGTTTCATGGGATAACGACGGCCGATATATTTTTTACGATCGCCAGTACAATCGGAAAATGCGTTTATGAATTTTCCTTCCCTTCTTTCCCCGAACGAAAAGCCCTTTCTCGCGTCTTTTCGTTTTATTTTTATTTTCATTTTCTCCTCGTAGCGTTCGCACTGGAAAGCATTTATTGCTGCACGTGAAATCGACAAAATCATTCGCCGTGTGCGCGCCTTCATATTTCATGGAAACACCTGCAGCCTCTGTAGCCGCTGTAGGGCAGGGTGCGTAGGAAGGGAGGTCGTAGGGGATGTTAGTTTGGGTCGGGATATGTTTTTGGTGAAATTTTTTTTTCCATTTATATATTTTTTTTTTTTTTCATTGTTCGAATTGAAATACGTTTAGCGACATCAGTCAGCGACAGCAACAGATCATTTGAAAAAGCTTAATCCAAAAATAAAATTGGCCTTTCCTTTTATACTCGCTGAGTTTGCCCAGTGCATTCGGTCGTTGGGCGCGTATTGTATTTTTGAATTTATTTATTTATTTATCCCATCCAGCGTCGCCCGTTATCGCCGGAACTAACAATAAATCAGAGAGGGTAAACGTTTGCCTGGCGTTAATTACATTTTAGTTTGGTTGGCAATTTTTTTTTTTAACCAAAAAATAGCCAATCGCTAAAGATTTTTTCTCTCGTATATCCACGCTATATTTGTTGCACGTTGAATTTCGCGGTTTATCATAACGTTGACAGTGACTGGTTGATTTCTAATTAAAAATAGGGCTTTGACTTTGAAATCCCATCGCGAACTAAATTTTGTTACAAAATGTAAATAAAAAATTTACGCACATATACGTATACATATATCGAGATTAAGACCCCCTTAGCTATGAAGGTTGGCTGAGCGTAAAGTTTCCCTGCTCGTAATTTCAATCCCCTTTCCGTTTTGCACCGCAGGAATATCAGCAGACTTCGCCGAGCCGGCGCAGCCTTCTCCCTCCTGGCCCTTATATATATACCACCTACGCCATCACGCAAGGGTTTCCCGTGTCTTATCATCCGCGACTTTGCCGCCCGATTGTTCCCTGGACGCCAGACAATGCTGCGCACCCCTCTAATTTGACTTTCCAAGGATGTCCTCATGTAGCAGAGAGACCAGGGACGGATAAAACCAGCCCCCTTTCCACTTACTTAGATTTCGCCCCTTTTTTACCGCAGGAACCAGTCGAGCTTTTGTCGTCGGATTTGCACCCCTTTTTAAGACTTCAACACGCTCGCACGAAGGATACGAAGAGGAGAATGCGCCATTATTTTTTTTTGTCTATTAATAACGCCGAACGATTTTTTTTAAGATTTATTTCGATCGACGGGTAAGATGTTGAAGGCATTGATTAAAAAATAATTAATAAATAATTGAAAAAAAAAATTTTTTTTATCAAGGCAGTCACTAGGTATCGATTATTTTTAATTTCGTATTTTTTCGATTGAAATTTAATCGATAGTCACGAATGACGATTTTATCAATTCTTTTGTCGCGCCGTTAAACAATTACCAGCAGCCGATTATTTTTATTCGTTCTCACTCTTATATACTGATTGTATCTATTATATGTATGCGGGAGCTTGCGGGGGGTCATTGTCTTTCGAAAGTGGCTCGAAAAGCCGAGAGCTAAGCCAGCGTGACAGCTACCGCGACGAAAACCGCTTTCCGAAAGCTTGCGGAAGCTTTTCGACCCGTCCTAACAATGCGGAGTGCGTCGCGACGGCGCACGGTTTTAACGGAAGTACAATGGCGCTCGTGTACGTTATACGCTTACCTGTTATCATCTTACGTCCTAACCCAGGGGATTGAATTGGAAGCTCCATGGAAAGCTTTGCTGTCTAGGTTAACGTACAGTTATCACGAGTATAAACGTAAGTTATCAGAAATTATATTTTAATCCGTTCTTACGACAGTGGCTATTGCTGGTATTATCGTCATCACCGTATACGAGATTTATGCGCGAAATATCCCAAACCAGGCTCATTACGATAATTAATTTTTGTATTTTGAAAAAAAAAAAAAAAAAAATTTTTTTTACCAAATTTATTTTTTTCTCTCGTTACTAAGCAAGTCATTTATTAAGTATGAGGTTCCATTTAGTTCTTAAGAGAATATAGCCGTAACGATACTGACCAGTATCGTGCACCATGTAGTCATATGCTATGTGACCAGACGCCTTTTAATGATTCATCATTTACTATGCATAGTATGAATATCAGCTACTTGCAAAGCTTCTGCTACTTCTGTCAGATCATTAAATAGCCACTGCAGCAGAATTACTTTCGTATTACTAGTACCTAATCAGTATGGACAGTTATCCAGCTAGAATGGCGAGCTTAATTCTTCCTGAATGATTCGTCAGGAACATGTAAGCCTTTCGATCGATGATACTTGTTTTTTTCTTTCACTTTCTTAAATTTATAAATTCATTTTGCACTAATGATTATAATGGACGTATGGTTAGAGTTAGTCACGACGCTGAAGAATGTGTGAGAATGTAGTAAAGTTTATTTATTGAATGTTTTTTTTTTTTGATTTTTCCCAGTGTAATTTTTTTTGTACACGAGTTTTTAGCATTTTTGTGGAAATTTCTGTCTACACGCAAAAGATTCGAAGTAACCTTTTAAATTGCCAGTGGGTTTGGATCGGATCGATACGTTACAATAATTGGCATGCCGACCGATTTTCATCATCGATATTACGTATAACGCTGAAACTGGGATCAAAGGAAAATTCGGAGCGAGGTTATCATCTTTTTGATTTTATCATGGGGGATGAGAAACGGTGAAAAAGAGGTAGAGTAAAAAAGGAAGCGGTAAAAATTTGATAGAGCCTGAAGGAATAAAATCAATGTAATGTTAAAAATAAAAAGTAAAAAGGAAATTGGAAATAAAATAAAAAATAAATGCAACGCCCCTTCAATCGGCAACCGTTAACCGAGAAAACCGGTTCTACGGTATTTGAACCGTTCCCGATGCCGTTTCGACGTAGCGCTTCACGTATGGTTCATGCACGGACTTTTAATCGTTTCGATTTACCGCACGTTGCAGCTGTAATGGCGTACCGACAAATTGCCCGGATCGCGATTGAATGCAGCATCCCGCAAATCTCTGTGCTCCATCCTGAACACAGCCATAGGCACATATACGAATGACGAGGTTCAGGGCAGAAGTATTAGGTAATATGGGAAAGCTGGTTAAGCTGGTTTAGTTGGTCGCCGCTGATGCTGCTTCTATCGCCGTGGGGTTAAGTTCAAGACGTAGGGCGGAGGCAAACTTTGAACCTAGTTTGTACATTGGGATAGGTCGTAATTTAAAAATTATAAATAAAATAGCTGTCAGAGGCGAAATTTTTAATAAGGGATGACACTGAGGGGTGTTGGGTGCAATTTTTTAATTTTCAGACTAATTAATTTTGAATTACTATAAAAATCTTTCAGTATTATTGTATGTATTGTACATCTGTCATCTTGCTGGTTGAAACCCACAGATGTCGGAATGGTCCAGCTAACTTATCTACTGGATGCTGAATTGACGACCCTCTGCTCTCTAACCTTCTCCCTTGCATCCCTGCGGGATTTGCGAAACGAAAAAGTTTCCGGGGCGTCGCAGTTAAATTAAATTACCTTCCGGCTCGCTTTTCTCGTCTGCTATCGTCGCAGAGGGCGCCAGTATCCAGGAGAGAATCCAGGGTAGGGTTTTCCCCCAGACAAAAGTACTATTTTCGTGTCTGACCCGAAGTCGCTCTACCTACTTATGCTTACAGGGCTAGTTTCCGACTAATATTACTTACGCCTGGGCTGAAATGTCTAACTAGTAGTCTTCAAAGAAAATTAATTTGCGAACCAGTTACTGGTATGACTTTCATGCATATATTATACACTTCTACACTTGGCAACCCCCTCTTATCATAATGGGTATATACTTTAACAGCGTCAACCCCTAGCTGGTAGATATTCTAGCGTGCACGCGGTAAGTATTTACATTACCAGTGTTTTCACTGAAACATATCGCTTCGTGAATACTGGCCACTCTAGGGACAAGTAGTAATTTACCCAACAACATACCCTTATACATAAGATACCCCGAAGAAAAAAATCCCTCAAGACGTAAAGGGTCGAATTCACGTTGCTTTCATACCGAAAGTGACCAGAATATTTTTCTTGTATTTTTACTGAATTTTAGTATCCTTCGTTTTGCAGGGGGTTGAAATAATGCAGATGGGATCTAAGTAGATAAAATTGAAAGTGCGTGTAGAGTCAGACAGTCAGTGCCAAAGTATACTCGATTTAATGAATAAATATTTTACAATTTTTTAACAATTTTTATTTAATCACTGTATAGCCGTATCCTTACTACGCTAACCTCATCAGCACGTTATTTTACTTTTCTGTTCATTAAGAGGACCCGTCGCGTTCCATTTCCGTCGGCGAATTCTTTAGTTCAGATATCACAAGAGGTACCATTGTTCCCTTCCCATTCGAGGGGGCATCCACAATAATGGACTTAATTATTGTACAATCCGACGATCGTGCCATCCTTTTAATTATCTCTTCCCGAATGCCGCACACTCTTTGTGGGTCTTCCACTAAATTCGTGGGGTGTTCTGTATTATGTAACCGGATTACGTAATGAGATCCGATTAGCCACGCGCTACCAACTCTGTCTATTGCACTTACGATAAATAATAATTTCTCGATTCTTTTGTTACAGACCACCCGCTAGTGTACTCTGACCGTGCGGAATACGTGCGGCTTATGTGGTACCATCAAATCCCCCACGCGAACACAGCAGAACAAGTTCTCCAGGAGTTACGACGTTAAATTGGCAAATTCCTAAAGGAGCGACAGGTGGGTTTACAACGGACTATTATACGACTGTATTGTAACAAAGTGAACGAGCTCTGCAACCGTTTCTTTCGTCGCTGTTGTATCACTTAGTACAGTTTTTTCCCTCTTTTTATTTTACCACCTCACACTGTTTTACCGACAGAGTTTTACGAAGTTCAAGTTCACGTTTTTCCTGTTATCTTTCAAATATTTTTTTTCACTTTTTCTTTTAAATCAAAAATTTACAAAAAAAAAGTACCGTTTTTCATATCGTGAGCGTAAGGTCGCTCTGAGCGTCAAGGTCGGTTCTCAATGCGCGAACGAAATGATTATTCGATGCAACACACGAGTACAAGAACGTAAAGAGATAAAAGGTCAGTTTACAATGTACCCTTTACCTTTGTTTCATTTTTCCCTACTCGTTTCGGTGCTTCCGCTTGAACCGGATGTACTCGTGAATACTTGCCTTTAAACGGTATCCTAGCGTTTATTGTCGAAAGCTGCGCACTGTGAATGGAACAAGTTGATAACAAAACGTCACCGCCGAATATTAATGTCGTGTAAAAGGGTACTGTTGCTGGGAAGAGGGAGTGAACGAGGAAAAGGGGTAGAGGTTTAATAAGTCGGGGACGTAATGAAAACCATTCATATAAAACTTTTGGTGCTAGAGGTGACATTTTAATTGAACGACTCTTGCCACGCTCGGGTAGAACTTTTTGCTTTTATTTTTTTTTCCTCTTCTTTTTACCCATAGTTTTCCTCTCGCCCTTTTCACCTCCAGCCTTTTCTAAACATTTTGGGGCATCTCAGTTTTCCTTCTGCGAGGACACGCGTACGGACGATACTTTTTAACACGGTTGACACATAGCTGAAAAATAATATCCTCCATTTCTAACCCCTTCTCATCACTCTGCACTTGTTTTATTTTATTTATTTTTTTCTTAGCATCTCAAATTTTTCTTCTCTTTTTCTTTCCCTTACAGTAATTTTCATATTTCAATTAATTAAATGATTTTATATTCAATATTTTCTTGTCTCCTGTGCACTGTAGATACTGAATTGGACTGTAGTTAGCGCGCACTAATTCTGACGAAATATGGAATCCATGAAACGTCCAGGTATTGGACGTGTATGAAAAATCATTTTTTTTTTTATTAACAATATACGTAATAATATCAGCTAAAATTCTTAGTGAATTATTGTCTGTCTTATCTATAAAGAAAATCATGATAAGGTCAGATGCTACGCGATTTAGTAACGTGCACGAAGAGTGATAAGACTTCCATGCGATATGATTGAGAGCTGATCACAAATTAGTCAACGTAATGTGGAAGCGCGCGTAGGACCGTCGTCACAGTCGTCACGATAAACTAAAGTTACTCGACTAGTGAGTGTGAATACATTTGTCATATTGCATACATGAAAATATACGGTGATGGTTATACAGTAAATCAAGTCGTATTACTGACGAGGTAAGACTTTTTATGTAAAGTTGAAGTTAGAAAAAAAAATGTTCTGACATTCCAAAATTTGGCAACTTTTACGACGTTACTCATTTTTTCTTTTCTTTCTTTTGTATATTTGCTTATCAGTTTTTTGCATTCAAAAATGATGACTCAACCACTTACGACAGCTAATAAGATTAGCCCTGACGACCTCGTTTCGGTAAAAAAGCTTAGACAGTATCGCGGGGAAGTGATAACGTAATGCGCTACCTGCCTTTAGGAGAGATAACTACGAGTGATAGTGTCGCGTCCCTGATAAGCCAATAATTTCGTTACGATACATGTTTTGGACTATTTTAGCATGCGTTTAATAAAACAGCCTAATCATATGTTTATTACTTTGCACATTTTTCTCTATTTTTTTTTTTGGGCTGATTAACAATTACCTTATCACTGATGATTACTGTTATCGTTAACAGTATAAAAGAGATGCTACTCCCTTCAATGGGATATCGTTGTTTATTCTAATCATTCGAAATGGTCATTGCTACTGATCTAACGGGAAACGTCTACCGAGTTCTATGATAATGGAGCCGCTATAGGAAGTGATAAGATTGAAACTTCCTGCTCCAGTAATTTATGTTTATATATGAATACGTAGTATTTACTTACATCTACGTTATACGGACTTTATACAACAGTATTGTACCATCTGAAGGTGGTTCTGTTGTTTAAATGAAATGAACCTGCTAACTTCACACGGTGCAAATATTCATGAGTAACGTTGTATAATTTTATTTTTCATATACATAAATCTGAAGAAATTTAATTATTCACGTAACACGTAGATGGGTAATTCATATAAATCGTGACAGTTGTTATACTTATCAAATGCGAATCTGATTCATTAGAAAAAATTCGCACAATTGTTTACTATAATTAAATCCGATTAGATGGATCGATCAATCACTTAATTTAGAGCTTTAGCAAAAATATATATATATGTATACATGATTTAAGGTTTCGCTTACTCCGAGCGAATGATCGGCTCGAATGAGAAGGTAACGTTGAACGATTTGTGGAGAATGCTGAACGGAGGATAAAGAAAGGGAAAGAAGAATAAAAGAAGGAAAATCAAGAAAACAGAGATTCCTATGGAAACGCAAAGGCAAAAGTTCTTAGCTATACTTACCTCAAAGCCTGTATCCGTGTTTATACGAAAAGTTTCGCGTTTTCAATGCAAATCCGCGTCGCTGCCGAGTCCGCTTCATTACCAAGAATTGTCAGTGAAATTCCAACTACGGATACGTGTATAGTCATTCGCCGACGTCGGCGTCGGCGTCGGCGTCGAGGACGCGCGGAATTCCAATTGTTTCTTTACGCGAGATGAAAAGATGGTAAGAAAGTTTCGACGACGTCTTTACTTTTATTTGATTTCTACGTTGCAACTGAGTGTCGGTTGGTACTGTAGCTACTTGCTAATGGTTTCGTCGACGTTTCTAAACTGCCTGTACCTGTGCGACGTGTTATGCTACTTTTACGAAAAATTATTCTGAACATTTTTTTTTTCGAAAATTTTTAGTCAATCTTTAATGTCCCCGTTTCTCAACTTTGCAATATAAACTCCAACGTGACACAACTTAGTTTTCAACCTTCATTTTCTAAATCTTAACCGTCATACTAAGATTCATCTAGATTCAATGAAAATTCACCTTTACCCAAACTTTCGATCATTAATAATTTCTATCAGTCATTTAACGATCGTGTTGAACGGTGCATGATTAAATTTTTTTTTTTTCTATTGTATCTCAAGATCGTCTCACTGACGTCATAATAATTTTCCATTCATATCTCGACCTAACGGCGACTCGCGTAATTCATATTTATTTGATAAAAATCATTCTTCCCGTGTAAATATTACATCGCATGAAATTTGTATGCTTACGTTGTGTCGCACGCACAAATCGGCGACAACATTTGCGTTACGTTTTTTTTCTAGCGAATGTGTTTGCCTACTATGCTTACCTATATCCTACTCACCTATCTGCCTACCTACCTACCAACCTACCCATATAACCACTCGGCGAAAGAGCTTTCCCCGAGTCCCTGACAAATGGGTCGAGAGCTTTTCCGACTTCGGAAGCTCAGTAGACACGGACAGAATCCACAAATCGACACAATGCATTCACCGAGGTATAAGTTTTCTGATGTAAAGAACAGTCTCCCCATACAAACTTGGCTGTTGGTCCACCCGTGGTATGTCTCGAGTCTTCTTTTTTTCTCTTTCTTTATTATCATTTTGCTTTTGCCGGTAATCTTCATATCTTCGTTCTTTAGCCTCGATAAAGCATAAATATCACGGTTGTGTTCTGTCGATAATGGGATACGAAGTAAATGGGGGAATTATTCAGAAATAAGAATAAGAATTTAGACGAGGGGCGAGGGGGGATATTCGCACGTATTATTATTATATCTATATTTTTCTTTTCAACTTTTTTTTTTTTTCTTCAATACGATTAAACTGTCCTGTCCTTAATATCTATCGCGTTCGGGATATACGGTTCGAGTTATCATTTCCGGTCTATAGAATATTTTGTTGCGCGACTAATCGAACTGAAATATCCGTGAGCGACGCCACAAAAGACCCACGTGGGTCTTTGTATCCGCCGAACCGTGGAAATATTGTTGAGGAATGCTGATCTATTCTCACGGGTATTGCATGATAAAGTCTATTAAATACGATCGTGTAATGATAATTGCACCTTTGGGTTTCTTTCCCGAAGATCGAAGGAACTGAGGGTTGAATTCGATTACGTGTTACGGTCAGTAGTGAAGTTAATGCTGTTGGGGTATAGCTTCGAAAAGTTTTACTTATTCATTACATAATTTAGCATAGCGAATTTTCATGGTAACGCTTACCCCTGTTATTACACCGAAATAAATCTTTGGCGAATATTAAAAATTTTATTTTGGCCACGCATGAATTTTTCACGCATCAATTTCTCACACTTGACTGTTAAACACAAATAAAATACTAGCTCGCGTGTTCACGACGTGCCCGGAAGTGCCCCTTCGTGTTGCCGTCACGTGAAGGGCTCTTTATCGCGAGCACATTTTCCTAGTCTTCCTATCGCCTCTATTGTCACTTCCCTTAGTCTGACCTGTACATGTCGTTACTACTAGCCGGTAACGTCACGGAGAATCCTTCGGAACAGTACAGTTTCGTTAAAAGTATCCTGGTCGTTTTTTTCTCGTACTTTCGTTAAGTTTTCTTAATCGCTCCCTCATGCAATTTTTTCGCTCCTTTCATTTTCCAGGCCAATCTCAAGTTTCATAGTTTATCCCAGATTAACGTGTAGTCTTTAAGAACGTCCAGCCGCTCCACGTCGTTTCGCGAAATTCCGTAAAATTAATTAACGTCGGTTGAGCTACGATGGACCTTTGGACGCGGTCAGCGGGCGACCTGTGGTCAGCAGCCTAGGGAAACCGAGCACGGATGCCAGAGCATCGTTCCTCCGCTCTGAATTTGATTAGTGACCGTGTACCAGGGCAAATCGTATGCGTTAAGCCCTTGGC